GGGAGTTGTGTAACTCGAGTTGTTTGATAATACGATCGATAATCATAGATTGTAAATGACTTGAATCTTCGATTCTATATTTTCATCTAAAATCACTTCAGTCATGTTTGAAAACGCAAGTAACGCAGAAGGAAAAGATTCTGAATACCTCATTTGATTCAATTGGGCTGAAATCCTATGAACTCAAAGTATATTCCTGAATAATCCTGATTGTTTGGGTAATGGAATCACTCGCAGTAAATCTGAATTTAGAATTATTATGTATAAAGGTTCCCGAACATTTTCCTGATGCACATGGAAACTTAGTGGAATTCTAAAGTATCAATATGAAATGTCTGATTAGATCGGTTAGAAATCAATTCTCTTCAATGAGATCTTATTCCTGGAATCCGAACAAATTGCACAAGTTCATGTTATCCATACTGATGACTACAAAATGCCTCTGAAAAATACATGGATCCTCTAGTGTGTTCCCTAAGTACTATTTAATTATTTTATCTATTTTGAAATACGGTATATTGAAATCTATGATTTACTGTTTATTGATACACCGACTTACCGGTGATGGTTTATGGACTATGACTAATATATGATTATTGGTTTTCATTGATATATGATAACGATGATTACGGATTTATGGAAATTATGCGTATTGCATAAATTATATTTTGAAATACTGGTTTTGGATGGATTGAATTATAGAGTATAGCTCTGATCAAGCTGGTAAACCTTACGGACCTAATGTGACTCTTGGGTAGGCTCACGGGCCCCAAGATGCTCCATTAGGTTGGCTCCCTTTGTTGTGTTCTTAGGGTAAGCCCTATAGACTTATGGAGTTAAGAATACATGCCCCAAAGCCTATCCTTAGGTTGGATTCCTTTTTGCCGTGTGCTTAAAGTAAGCCCTATGGACGCAGTTTTGGGAACTGCGGATGGTGAACAAGAGAATGGTTTAAACTATGAGTTTCAAAGGTTAAACTTCATTATGATTTTATGAGATTTACTGAACTGACATTTGATAAATGTACCTATTATGATTTTATTGTACTATTGGAACACACTAGACATCCTATTCGATCTCCTGAAAATGTTAAACTATGAAAGGTTTCTTATGAACTGAGATTCATGGCTTCTACTCGATGAACTACTAATGGAACTCCAGATTATTCCACAATTGGTATATGTTTGATTTAATAAGGAAATTATGGTTTCCCATTTATCTGCATATCATGTAGCATCATCTGGTAGTTCTGTATTACTGAGTTTTCCGAAGCTCACTCTATTACTCAACATTACAGGTTAAAAGAATTGTACCGGTGCATCTATCGAATTCAGTAAGGGAGCTCTTCCGGCGTTGTTGCAAAGTATGGTACATGTGATTAGGGGGTATGTAATTGTATTTTGATTTATATACGAGTTTGGAAATCTGTTTTATTTCTGCATACTGATAAATCATTTTATAAGTTACATATTTTAATAAAAGTTTTAAATTTTCTACCATTTTTACAGTGGGTCACTCCGGTGGCCCTAATGTGACACCCCGGATCAGTTCAGGTTACCCGCATCGGTCTGGGGGGTTACAATGCCACTCTAGATCTCTACCTCCAGTAGGCCTCATCTTTGTTTATAATTTGTTTGAGTTTCCCTCTAGTTTGAATGAGCTTCTCTATTAAATCATCAGAGATTATATCATCTTCGAGTTGCTCAATTCTTTCCCTAAGAACCCTTTCTTCCTTTCTTGCCTTGGTCCTCTTCATTCTTTGTCAATATCCAAGAAGAGAGCCTACTGCCTGAATTTTGTCCAGAGTATTATCAAAAGAACCAACCCAGGCATCTCTAACAGATTTTTTGTACTTCTCCTCCTTAGCCCAACAAGCATCAAATTTGAAATAGTCCTTACACGAGTCTTGAGATGAATCTCTCGTTGGACCCATAAAGTCACTAAAATGGTCATATGGTTAGAGCATATAGTTAGCTCAGTAGACACTCGGTAATATTTGAAAAGATAAATCCATTCTGGGGTACCATCAAATCTGTCAATTCTCTCCTGAATATGGTTCCTAGCTTGTATACCAAAGGTCCAGGTAGACCAACCTACTTGTGGTTTTAAATCCCACAAATTGGAAGATTGGAGTCCTAGTCTGAAGTCGTTCATATCGACCCTTGGTCTTCTCCTCCCTCCGACCTCATTTGGATGGACAATCTCATTAAATCCCCCTTATAATCCAAGGTAAAGAATATTCCTAATCAAGTCTATTCATGAGGTCCTATTTTTCCCATAAAAGCCAATAAAAAGAAAATAGAGGTTATTACAAGATCCCTCAACATCAATATGAGAATTAGAGTATTCAAACAGATTCACATTCATTTCATCATTCCAAAATAAAATCATACCAATACAATGATCTGAATTTTCGACAACAAAACACCCTTTCATTCCAACCCTGGTCCTAATTCTCTCGGCTTATTCTTCCTAAGTCTAGACTCACAAACGAAGATGAGCTTTGGGCCCTTTTTTGAAATGATTATTTTAAGCTCTTGAACTATCGTTGGTTCCTAAGCCCATGACGGTTCCAAATTATAGCTATCATGGGGATCAACGGGGCTGCTCGACAGCCACCGCTACTAGTACAATAAGATTTCGCCCATCGGATAGGGCTTCATCAGGAAGAAGATTGATTTCACCAAAATGGTTTAGATAAGGCCAATGAAGTAAGAGTTAAAGATGAAAGGGACACGAATGGGTATTAGTCACCCAGATAGTAAGGTAAGAAGTTGTCCTACCTTTCTTTAAGTAAAAGCTGATTTGATTTTCCGAATTCGAAATAATGAAGAGCTTAAGTCTAATCTGGATTTTCTTGGTAGACTCCTAATATTTCCTACCCTTCCTCCTTACTCTATACTTTGTACCCCATTGTAGCAATGACCATGGAAAGTAACCCTTGTGTAATTGAACACGCAAAGGCTTTAGATTTAAAATATCGTGCAAGTTGTGCCTCGAGTTGGTGAGATTGTATTTTCAATGGATTGAGTAGGATAGGCTCTCTTTTGACTTGCTTAAAATAGTAACCAACTTTTTTCCTTGTTACACTCTTTTGGGACCATTTCCTATCATTAGAAACCGGTGTCGTCTTCTTCTCAAATCTCGAACCCTTCTTGATCATTGGGCTTTGCATTTCTCCTTACACCATGTCTTAAACACCAATTTAGAAAAGACTTGGAGAATCGAGCCTTGACTTATTGACCACGTAAAGGCTTGAAGATTAAATTGCCTTGGTATCCGTTCCATGGTTTCGAGTGATTGCATTTCTCGATGATGTGACTAGAGGAACCTTTCTTTTGACTAAGCTTAAAAGGGTAACTTGCTTTTTATCTTGAATCTCAATTGTGGCCATTTCTTGTCATCAAAACCAACACCCTCTTTTCCTAGTAGCCACCTACATTTTTGGCAAAATCGACTTGTACCATCTCCTTTGTCCTAGTCTTCTTTTTTTTATACCTTTTTTGGCAATATTGGGCGCATGTTTTCTATCGACGGACATCTCCTCACGATTTGACTTCTGCTCTTCCTTTTGTCCTTTTAGAGTGCAACACACGTTAAAATTCCATGGGTCCACCCGAGTTGAATGACTCCGTCACCTATTTCCGACTGACTTGTTTCCTCTCCAAATTTTTAAAAGTAGTAATGATATTTTGTTCGGTGGAATTGTGATGCTCCATACGATTTGAGTTCTTTTGAAGATCCAATTTTCCTTGATCGTTAATCATGCAACAACCCTCAATATGAATCTCATTCATTCAGTGAAGATAAATACCTATGCTCTTGTTGAACTTCTTAGCTTTAAACGTGTCCATGAACTTCTTATTACTCTGAGCAAATCTTCTTTTTTCCATTGTTTTCTCTTGTAAGACCAACGATTGCATTGTTCCCCTCTCTAAATGGTTTCTATGAGTGGAAACTCCTAAGCAAACCTGTAAAGACCATAAAGTAAATGTGTTAAAATGTGAGTACCTTGTCTTGAAACACTCCGATGAAGCCAACGGGAGGCAATGGAATGGTTCGAGAAAAAGAGAAACAAAAAAACTTCTCTTGAATATGATCGATCTGAATAACAATAACTTTCACGGAACTTTGGATTACTCCTAAACGACCCATATCCTTAGGCAACACAAAGGGAAAAACAAACGAATGAGAAAACCTAGAGAGAAGTGATAGAAAAATCTCACTAAAACCCATGAATTAGTTGGTATTGAACACTTAACAATCAAATGATCAAAGGATGTGGAATTTAAAATTTGACTTAATGTAAAAATAAATGTCTAAACTATATTTTAACTTAATTTTAAGTGTTTAAAGAAATTTTTTTATTAAAAATAGATACTTAAAGTTTTTTACGTTAAACTTTTAAGTGTCTAACATTTTTTTCATTATACTTTTAAGCAATTACGCAATAATGACCACTAAAAAACTGCTAAATAACAAGTATCATATTTATATTTTGACTTCATACAAAAAAAAAATAATAAGTACACACTATTTCTTCAGTTGACTTTATTTGTTCAAGAATTTTTCGCTTAATATAAAAATAAGTACACACATCTATCATATTTATATGTTCCGGCATTACACTTTCAGATACTCATTAAGTGACTCATATCATTTATATTTTGACTTAAATTAAACTTTTTAAAAACACCTTTAAAGTACTTATTAATAGCACTTTTTGAATCACTTTTTAAAAGTGATTCCGAACTTAAAAGGGAAAATAGACTACAACCACAGAGATTAAAATACTATTTAACCCTTCATATATATAATACTTGAAAGTTGGAGAAGAAATGAACTGGGAGGCTAAATTTTAAAAAGAAAAGGGTTCCACGCATATTGTTTGAAAATCTTCCAAATTCTATTACAACTAATTGCTCATCCAATTTGGGCCTGTAGGAGCAAACAGTCGTCTATTGCCTGCGACGTTAGTACCAGAAAATAGAAGACTCATATACACACGACATTGACACAGTTGCATTATAAGTTGAAGGAATAGGATTCAACATCAAGAAACCAGTAAACATAAAAACCCGCAGTTGTTTGAGAAGCATAAAATCAAACCCAATTCAAAGAAATCATCAACCAAACTAAAACAGACTATAGTACTTCATTCCCAAAACAAGAAGCTAGAGCAGTCTTCCGGGTTCTGCTAACACCACCACCCTCAGCATTTTTCATGGAATGATGCCAGCTTAAAATCTCCAACACTGCACTTAGTCGGCAGTCCAGCTCTGCTCCACAATTTCACGGACTCTTCTGTTGTACTCTCGCTTATTTTCACTAAACATTCGAGCAGCTTCGGAGTTTGCTGGAGAGTTCGGATTTGGATCACAGAGTAGAGACTGGCAAAAGCACAACATGGTCATTAGCATGTTTAGTCTGCCTTAATTGAGAATCCGAGATTCATATTTCCAAACTTTTGAGCAATGCAAACTAATATAATCAACTGTATAATGATAATTAAAAAGAACCAGTTAATACTCAATATGCAACCAAGGCTGTCTTAGAGCCTACTTTCACGTTAAAGTTGTGAGGAACAGCAAACATCTTAGATCTCTTCACAATCGTAAAAAGGATTAAACTCGATGCTCATATGATGCCAGAAGTAGTTCAACCAAAATGTGTAGTCTTCGACTGCCTACTGAAACTGTTGAACCATGGTTTAAAAGAGACATGGGCTTTGCCTCGTTTACACAAAATTCAAATCATAGATGCAAATGTTTCCATGTAGTTTTGAGATTAATGATTAAGATGGCAGTGTATGGTACGAGAGGTATTCATCAACCAAGGGTAACAAACAAAAAAAGAAGAGAAAGGTTAAAAGAGTCGACAAATTCTAATGGAGAAAAGAAATCCGTTATTCCCATGTTCAGTCAAAGATAATATGCAACAACATGGTTCCCACAATATGTAACTACTTTACTTGTTTGACATAAACAATCATCCTAGAAACTGGCTTCTATAGATATTCCTTAGATTTATTATTTACAAAATTTTCCTTGTTTAATGTTCTTCCTCATTGTCGACAGTTTTCAGTGCACTCTTCTATATTCCCTTCAATTTGAAGGCATAACAAATAGGAAACCTTTTTCAACATTATGAATTTTGCTTCCATTGATTAGAAAATGAAGAAGAGTTAATAGGAAAAAGTCTAATTCAAAGTTCCTCCAGCCTCTTCAATCTTCCCCAATTATCTAGTTATAGAAAAATATTCGAAACACGTAAAAAGCTAGAAAGGGTGAGATCTGCCACTAAGGTCACATAGATCTGTCACTCTGGTTTTATACTTTGTTATACAGATAGGAAATTTTCACACATACAAGAAGAAACCCTCCATCCCTTAATTGTGGTCCACCCTGGAAAAAGAACTTTGCTAAAGAACAGACATTTTTACCTATGGAAAGAAAATTGACACCGACTACTTACTAACTTTTCCAACCAAAAAGAAGAAATGGACAAAAGTTAAAGGTGAGGAATATGCCAGGTTGCTCATTTTCGAGCTGGCCTACCATGGGATCATAATACATAGACCTACAGCTTGTTTATGTAGCATGCATCTCAACCACACATGTATCATCCTCTATTTTCATTTTATTTTGCAATATCCTCATAACCACTCCGGTCCGTTCAAATATCTTTGTTTTATAAAAGTTTGATATACACACTTTCATGGTTCAATTATGGAGTCCAATCATTGACTTTAGAAACTGTTTATATTTGTCAAATGTCTATGTTGTGAGAAAAATCTCCATGTATTTTATGTGTCAATTTCCTTTTTCTGACCTGTTTCCTTTTTTAATAAATATAAATACTTGTCAGAAATTAGTTACCTAAGTTACGAAGATTGAGTTGGATTTGTAAATATTATATCTAGTTAGTATCCCTAAATCTAAGGGATTCTTTTTGTTACTATAAGTCACCTAAGATAAAGCTTAGGATCGTATATATAAATGTAAGTTTCCTAAACTTTAATAAGAGTGAATTACAGTAAAATTCATGGCTTTTGTCATGGTATCAAAGCTAGTCGTTTTTGGGTCTTAATCTCCTTGTTGAGCGTCTTTTCATAGTTCTTAAGAGAGTATGGCACCTGATCAGCAAAATATAGGCGATACAGGTGATTTCAGCAGTACAGAAACTGCTCAAGGAGGCACAATGAGTGAGAGAAGTCACTCTAATTCGATAAGTGACTTACAAAATATACAAGCCGCTTATAGGTTAAATGGAAAAAACTACCTTAAGTGGTCTCAATTGATTCGGGCTTTCCTAAAAGGGAGAGGTAAACTTACTCGTCTCCTCGGAACGGGTCCAAAGGAAGGAGATCCCAGATTTGAGGCTTGGGATGAACAAGACTCATTGGTTATGTCTTGGTTGTGGAATTCAATGCTGCCTGAAATTAGTGACACCTGCATGTTTCTTGGAACAGCCCAAGAGATATGGAGGTTGTAAAACAAACCTATTCAAAGGTTCAAGATGCTGCCCAGATTTATGAAATCAAGAGCAAGATTTCAGCCACTAAACAAGGAAGCAAATCTATAATAGAGTATTCTAATATGCTGCAGAATATGTGGCAGGAAATGGACCACTATCAATGCATTCAGATGAAATGCAGTGAGGATGCAACAATCCTAAAAAGGTTTGTAGAAAAAGATAGGATTTATGATTTTCTTGTTGGACTAAATATAGAATTTGATGCAGTAGGGGTCCAAATTCTAGGAAAAGAAAACCTGCCCTCACTGAATGAAACTATTGCTATCATTCGTGCTGAAGAATGAAGAAGAGTGAAGATGGTTGAAAATAATCAAGTAGAAAGCTCAGCCTTGGTTACTAGGGTTGTTCCTGAGGGACCAAATCGTCTAGAGCAGTAGAATATTGAACAGAGAAGGACCAATGACTCCTTATGGTGTACTACAGCAAAAAACATCATAACACCAAAGAGAAATGTGGAGGTTGCATGGAAATCCTCAGACTACAAAAAGAACTTCATAGAAAGGAGGTTCAGAAAGAGGACAAAGCAGAGCTTATGCAACTTACTGGAATCCTTAGAAAAACCATCCTCTGTAGGTACATGCAATTTAGTTGAGTATGATGAACAATCTGTTGAATTCAAACGGGAAGAAGAAGAAAACTTGAAGAACCTACTGGAATCCTTAGAAAAACCATCCTCTACAGGTACATGCAATTTAGTTTTCTCAGGTATATCTTCTTCCTCTTCTCAAATTCTAATGCCTTGGAATCATCTACCCACATACCTACCCAAAACTCCTGGGTAATTGACTCAGGAGCCACTGATCACATGACTAAGGTGGTGTTTTTTCACTGTGCAAGCTCTTCAAACCACTTATGTCTGCGTCGCGCAGACCACGCGCAAACATTAGGCTTCGCAGACTGTTTGATTTTTAGAAGACAGAAGCTCTTCAAATCTGCGCGAGCTCTTCTTGGCAGACTTGTTTTATGTCTTCAAAGGTCTTCAAACCTCTTCAAGAACAATTATAAAATATAGTTATTTATTAAAATAATTTAAATAATTAATAAGGTTATTTATTTTAAAATAATTTATTTTAAAAATTATTTAATTATAAAATAATTTATTTTAAAAAATTTATTATAAATAATTTATAAAATAATTTATTATAATATTATTATAAAATATGGATTGATTTATTTTAAAATAATTTATTTTAAATAATTTATTAGTATGGATTGATTTATTTTAAAATATGGATTGATTTATTTAAATAATTTTAGTATGGATTGATTTATTATTGTAGTTGTATGGATTGATTTATTTTAATAATTTATTAGTATGGATTGATTTACTTTAAAATGATTGATTTATTAAATAATTTTAGTATGGATTGATTTACTTTAAAATAAATTGATTTATTTTAAAATATGGATTGATTTATTTTAAATAATTTATTAGTATGAATTGATTTATTTTAAATAAATTATTTGTATGGATTAATTTATTTTAAAATATAGATTGATTTATTTTGTAGTTGTATGGATTGATTTATTTTAAATAATTTATTAGTATAAATTGATTTATTTTAAAATATGGATTGATTTAGTTTAAATAATTTATTAGTATAGATTGATTTATTTTAAAATGGATTGATTTATTTTAAATAATTTATTATATGGATTGATTTATTTTAAATAATTTATTTGTATGGATTTTTTTTTAAAATATGATTGATTTATTATTGTAGTTGTATGGATTGATTTATTTTAAATAATTTATTTTAAATTTCAGTATTGTAAAACTAAAATGATTTAAATCACAGTATTGCAAAACTCTTTTACGTTTAAAAAAATCAGTTTATTTATATTTCAGTTCATTTTAGCAGTCTGCAGACGTTAAAAAACAAACAGTCTTCTTGCAGACTGCAGACTTTTGGTCCACCTCTTCTGCTGCAGATGCCTGTAGATGTAGTCCACAGACTGCAGACCTTTTACCTCTGCAAAAACAAACACCACCTAAGTCTTCACTGAACTTCCTCACCTACATACCCTACTCTAGCAACAAGAAAATCACAATTGCAGATGGTATTATAGCAACAGTTGCTGGCCAAAGAGATATTGCCATTAAAAACCTATTGCTTAAAATGTTCTACATGTGCCAAAACTATTTACCAGCCTTATCTCTATTCCAAAGCTTATCAAAGACACTAACTGCAGTTTTATTTCATCCTACACAATGTATTTTTCAGGAGCAAGAAACAAGAGATTGGGCGTGCTAGGGAAATAAATGGCTTATACTACCTTGAAGACCTTAATGGACCAGCTAGAGTTTTGAATACTCAACCATTGTCTTTATTATCCGAATCTACAACCAATAAAGAGCAAATTTGGCTACATAACTTTCGCCTTGGTTACCCACATTTTAGACTCTTAAAAACTATGTTTCCCTCCTTGTGTAATTCCTTAAATGATGAAGAATTTCATTGTGAAGTTCATGAATTTGCAAAGCATAAACATTCCTCTTTTCCATCAAGTAATAAACGAACCAACAGTCTCTTTACCTTTATCCACAACGGTGTTTGAGGGGCCTTCCATTATTCCTAACATGATAGGGCTAGATGGTTTGTGTCTTTTATAGACAATTGTACTCGAGTTACTTGGATTTATCTACTAAAACAGAAGTTTGATGTTACCTCTAATTTTAAAACCTTTTACACCATGATCAAGACTCAGTTTGGGGTTGAAATAAAACGAATCAGATCAGACAATGTCAAGGACTATTTTAATCAAGTCCTGTCTCTTAGAAAGAGGTTTTATACATGAAACCTTCTTTATTTCAAAACAATGTCTCTAAAAGGTACTGGGGGGAAGTGTTAACTGCCACTTACATGATAAACAGACTACCCACTAAAGTTCTTGAATCCCAAAGTCCCCTTCAAACCCTTGCAAAGTTCTTTCCAAATTTCAGTTCATCTCTTAACCTAAAACCAAGGGTATTTGGGCGTGTTGCTTTTGTTTGCATTCATTCTCAAGGCAAAGGGAAACTTCATCCAAGGGCATTAAAATGTATTTTTATTGGGTATTTCTCCACTCAAAAGGGCTACAAGTGCTACAACCCTCCTATAAGAAAATACTACACTTCTGTTGATGTCACTTTAGTGGAAAAAGAGTTATTTTACAGTTCCTTATCTTCAGGGGAGATATCATTTAGGGAAGATAAGGATGTTGATTTTTCCACTTCAGCCCCTTATTGATTTTCCTACACCTACACCTATACCTATACATTCTACAGAAACAGACAGAAACACAGCCTGTTTCTACTTCATCCTCTCCCCAGTTAGAACCTAGTACTCCCCAACCAAATATTAATACATAACAACCCAATATTCAGGACACTACTTGTCCCCTAAGGTTCTATTCGTGGAAGAAGGCACCTATGCAGATTCAATCATCTCCTTCTCCTGCTCCTACTCCTGCTTCTATACAAATTGAGGTACACTCTGAAACTCCTTATGAACAAATTGATGCTGAAAATACTATATTTACTTCTGATTTTCAATTCCCCGTTGCTATTAGAAAAGGAAAAAGAACTTGCACCACCATACATCCTACCTATTTGTTTTTGACCTACAAAAACCGATCCCCCAATTACAGAACCTTCCTTAATAGCCTAAATGACATTGTATTCCTAAAACAGTATCCGAGGCATTAGAAAATGAGAACTGAAAAAGGCTATTAAAGAGGAAATGGAGGCGTAGAGAAGAATAAGACATGGATTTAGTGAAGTTGCCAGAAGGGAAAAACAGTAGGATGCAGATGGTAATTTACTGTTAAGTATAAAAGATGGTTCTCTAGAAAGGTACAAAGCAAGATTGGTGCAAAGGGGTACTCTCAAACCTATAGAATTGACTATCTTGAAACTTTTGCCCCTGCTGCAAAAATGAACACAGTAAGGGTTTTACTGTCCTTAGCAGCTATTCAAGAATGGAATTTGCAGCAGTTTGACATCAAGAATGCTTTTTTTTTTTTGCATGGGAACCTTGAAGAAGAAGTTTACATGGATATTCCACCTGAATTTGATTCGAATACTGGACAGGCAGTGTGTAAATTGAGAAAAGCTCTTTATGGACTAAAACAGTCCCCAATAGCTTGGTTTGGGAGATTTACTAAAGAAATGCTAAAACAAGGCTTCAAACTAAGTCGAGGTGATCATACTCTAATTGTGAAATACTCTCCCTTAGGGGGAGTAACTACGGATGGCAAGCGGGTACAATTTCGTGGATTCCGCACCGTACCCGCTCCAATTGGGGCGGGGATGGGTATAATTTTAGTGGATAGTGGGCGGGTGTGGATTTAGAAAGCGGTATCCGTCGCGGGTAGTGGGCGGGTAATGGTTTGAGACTTTACCAGCCCCGCATCCGCACCGCATCCACCCGCCTCCCGCACCCCACCCGCACGCCCCATCCGCCCGCCCAACTAAATATCCATTAAATTTTGGACCATTATGAATTTAGGTGTAATTTTAAGAGACTAATTTATAAATCCTAATATTGTATAAGATATAACTTGTAATTTAACCAAATATTAGGGATAAGTTTATGCATAAATCTTTTTCTTTCAAACCTCTTGTCTTCACTCTCCAGCTTATTCAGGTATGTTTCTTCCCTTTTTACTTGAAATTTAATTTTTGTAAGAGTCAATTCCGTAGTCATTTCGTTTTAAGCTCCTCTGCATTTCGTTTTAAGAGTTTAATTTTTATTTGCTCGTACTGATTTTTAATTATTTTTTAGATTCATCTTAATGTTTGTTTTAAGCTTAATTTCTTAATGTTCTACAAATCAGTATCTTGTGACTGAGCACCCACGTTTTTTGCTAACAGAGTCAGATCGTTGCTTCTCAAATCTCTATTTTTAACGCCACTGAATAGAATTAAGTGTTTCACTTGTGCTTCTCAAACCTCCATTTTTAACGCCATTGAAACTGACTTTTTCAAATTCAAATTTCAATCGAGTATTTTTCAATATTGGTGTTTTATTATGGTGTTTTATGAAAATGATGATTGTAATACTGGAGTATCAGATGTCACAAATATTGCTTGAAATTTTAGAATGTTGTGCCAAAGAACAAAAACATTATGTGTTTGTCATTTATGTTTCTAGACTTTAATTATGTCTTTTATTATGATGTTTTATGTACTTTAAGATCTATATTAACACTTAACTCAGATAATCATTGGTTTATTTTATTATGTTTCTTAATAGATGTGTTTGTTTTATGTTTGTTGCTTATGTATAACTTAAGTTTGTTGTCAGGCGGTCTGGGTACGTCTCCAGTGGGTAGTGGGTGTGGGGATGGATTTGAGAATGTACCCCGAGGGGCGGTTGGATTTGAATATTAGTGGTGGGTATGGGGATGGGAGAGGGGGTATCCGCACCCGACCCGCCTGTTTGCCATCCCTAGGAGTAACTGCACTGTTGGTGTATATAAATGATTTAATTGTTACAGGTAATGATTTTGAAGAAATTTTTAATTTAAAGAAGTGTCTTATAAAGGATTTTGAAGTGAAGGACCTTGGAAGATTAAAATACTTCCTTGGTATTGAGGTAGCTCACTCACAGCAAGGGATTTTTATATCTCATCAGAAGTATACATTGGACTTGAAGGAAACTGAAAAATTAGGAAGTAAACCAGCAGAAACTCCTATATAAGTCAATCACACGCTTGGAGACTCAAATGAGGATGATATGGTAGTTGACAGAAGTTTTTTTCAGAGACTGGTGGGAAAGCTTATCTATTTGTCACACACCAGCCAGACATAGCATATGTTGTTGGGGTTGTGAGCCAAATCATGCACAATCCCAAGGAATCACACCTAAGGGTTGTAGTCCAAAATTTGCAGTACTTGAAGGGTACACCAGGCAAAGGAATTCTATTTAGAAGCAGGGAGAACTTGACTCTGGAAGCATACACAGATGCATATTATGCAGGATCCATAATTGATATAAGGTTAACCTCAGGCTATTGTACTTTCTTTGGAGGAAACTTAGTTACTTGGAGAAGCAAAAAAATAGAATGTGGTGGCTAGATCAGGTGCAAAAGCTGAATTTCAAGCTATGGCATTGGGAATTTGTGAGTTATTATAGATGAAGATTATTTTAGAAGACTTGAAGATAAAGTGGAATGAACTAATGAAACTCTACTGTGATAACAATTCAACAATCAACATTGCTCATAATCCAGTTCAACATGATAGAACAAACATGTTGAAGTGGATAGACATTTCATAAAGAAAACATGAGTGGCCAGATCTGTACTCCCTATGTGACCACTGGAGATCAAGTTGCAGACATAATTACCAAGGGTCTACCTGGTAAGTATTTTTCATAAGTTAACAGGCAAACTGAGGATGGAAGATATCCATGCTCCCAGCTTGAGGGGGAGTGTCAGAGATTAGTTACCTAAGTTAAGAGATTGAGTTGGATTTGTAAATATTCTATCTAGTTAGTATCCCTAAATCTAAGGGATTCTTTTATTACTAGAATTAGTCTCTTACCTAGTTTAGAAGTTACCTAAGATAAGGCTTAGGCTTGTATATATAATTGTAAGTTTCCTACACGTTTAATAAGAGTGAATTACAATAAAATTCATGCCTTTTGCCAATATTGATTGGCCAAATAAACATAAACACTGAATGGAAACACCACAATACATGAATAACTTGTACGGTGCACATTAATATTACTAACGAAATATATTAAAGTAAAGGGTTCTCATAAGGATATGCTTTAAGAAGGTAATCCTGATAACTGAAATGCCAATGAAAGATGCTCATTGTATTGAAGGTTGTGATGCGATAAACTCAACTAAAAAAAAGCCACATGTTTTGTTGCAGGAAAACAAATGCACCAAGGAAAACAATCATTCATGGAAAAACATGGGTAACTTATTTGAAATTCAACAAACTGTGAATGCCATGGTTTAGAAGAAGCCATTGATGAAACAAAGTTTCTTCAAAAAGAAAATAGAAGGCTAAAATGGAATAAAAGGCCACACCTGGATAGAGGTGAGTATAGCTGCAACATCATATATAGGACTCCACTGGTTTTGTAAAATATCCAAACATATACTCCCATCTGCATAGACTGATCAACCAAAATGATCATTTGAGGGAAATGAAGCAAAAACATGAATATTAGCACATATGACTACAATTAAACCAATAATACATACTATTTGGATGAAACATTCGTGAGACAAAACGGACAGTCGGAGGCTTATTTGTATAATCCTCTATAAACTGCAACGTTAACTTGAACGTGCCTGAGAAATTTCAATAAAAATTTCATGTTACATGAGAAATAAAAATGAATTTATTATCCTAAAAGTATGAAAATAAAGTATTAGTTAGGTGGTGAAAAAGAGTATCCACGAATTAGAAGGAAGAAATCTAAGATATCAGTGACTATGGTGTCAAGGCTCACTGATTCATTTATTAAATTTCCATTGCATTGATTACAGCCAAATCTCATCAAAGCTCGAGAAAATGCAACTGAAAACTTATTTTTCAAGTAGCACGGGGGAACTGAAAATTGAAATGACCAATCACCAGGAACTCAACACTTTAATTCAGCATTACTCTTGCTACCCTTAACCCATTAAACCCAAGCAAGGAATAGCATTAATTCCCTGAAACAAGAGGGGAAATCCTCCGAAATTCCAATAACCAGGCAATTCATTGAACACGAGTGATTAATTCTACACATTATAAGGGTCAAAGAAATGTTTAACGATGATAGTGGCAAAGAAAAGTAAGAGAATGCAATAGCTATTATGGCCAAAACCAAGAACAATCAACAAAACACAACAGAAGCACACAAAAGATAAATGCTAGAGCCATAAACTACAAATAGTTAATCAACAACAAAATAGATTGATAAAAAATTCAACAGCGCTCCATCTCCCCCAACTCAAAACAAAATCACGCGTTCTTGAATCAAGTATAGCTGCTTATTGATTAAAGAAAGCATTCATATAGATATATAAAGCATTTGATATTGCATGGAAAATGATTAAATCAGCAAGAACTGGAACAACAAAATCATACAATTTTATCAACTTCACCAAAAACTCAAAAATACAACATAATTGACAGCTCAAATTTCAAAACTCCGGCAAAATCCCATAAGAAAATATCAACATCCCAACAAATTAAACTAAAAAAATCCATGAAATTCAAATGAAAGAAAGCAAATAAGACGTGTTACCTCCATCCCACGGAGTATCGTCGGGTCTGCAAAAATATGGAAAACCGCTATAATTAAAATATAACGATAAAAAGATAAGGAATGACGAAAATAGGGAAATACCCAAAAATAACAGCATTCCAAAGCATGATATTATTATCTTGAGGAGCCCCACTAATACCAGCAGGTGGATCCTGTTGTAGCCTCTTGAAGTCTCTCATCAGCCTCTTCCTTGCCGGGGTCGACATCGCCTTCCTTCTTTTTGCTAAAGCCAACCCAATCCGATCCAAATAAAATAAGTTAATTTTATAGATAGGAAGAGATCTGAGGGAAATCTATTAAAGATCCATCTTTCCCTGCGATTTGTTTTTTTTTTCAGCTAGGGTTTGTATTTTGTTAGAAAAGGATAATAAAAATAGGGGTGGTAAATATTAAGGCTTAATACAATTTTTAGTACTTAAACTATATCTCAAATATAATTTGTTATATAAAGAATTATTTTTACTACAAATAGATGTCTAACGTTTTATTTATTACATTTTTAAGTACTTACAATTCTCTTTATTACATTTTTAGACTTTTACAGTTTTTTCGTTACACTTTTAAATATCTACCGTCATATTTTTTTATTTTATAACAATAAAAAATTAAAAAAATCAAACACATCACGTCGTCCCTCTCCCCCATCCCCCATCATCAATGGCGAAGGGTCTCTAACAATTGAGTTTTGTTCTGAGCAGAACGAGGAACTCAATGATGACGGCTATGTAACATACGAACGGTTATAACCGTCAAAATCGTCAAAAAAAAACAACGAAAAACCTATAAATTTGGCGACCCTTTGTGGCATTCTTCATGACGACCAACGTAATTTCACGGTGGGTGGAGAACTTGGTTTTGATCACGATAGCGACATGCTTCTGATGATATTAACGGTGACAGCCATGGACTAACAGTAATCGATCGACTACAGAAGATGTAAAATTTAGGGTTTTTTTATTGTAATATTAAGTTTTTGTTTTAAATAAATAAATTTTTAAAATTTTATATATATGACACGTTTCAGATAACAACCAAATTTAACGATTGTTACGTTCAAGCACCTACAAGTGTAATGTTAGAAACATCAGATATTTAATATTAACGAAAAATTCTTTAGACACCAACATATATTTTGTGATATAGATTATGCATAAAAAGTGTATTAAATCCGTTGTGATAGTATATGGCTAAATGAGTTTTTTAACGGACGAACTCTTGCCACGTTAATGCCATGTAGTCTGTGTACTGTAACTGAAATTTTAAGATTTTGTAAAGGATAAAATATAAATATCATCACCAACTTTATTCTCATTCCTATTTTAGTCACTAAAGTTCAAGAATTTTAAATTTAATCATTCAATTTTCAAATTGCTTCTCTTTTAGTCATTCTAACATTAATCGAATTTCTTAACTTATTTTATTAATATTTTTATGATGCATCATATTTTATTTGTGTCATATAAGATTAGAATAAAAAAATCCAAAATAATACCTTAAACTTCATACCTAAACCTTAAACTCCAAATCACAAAACCTCACATTTATCATCACCCTTGACGAACTCACTCATTTATCGATTTAGGTCATATTTTATTATTATTTTAAAAGTCGTTGTGGAGGGCTTAGGTCTGACTTTTATGCCTCATACGTGATTTTTATTTTATATTTTAAATGTCAAATCAGACTTTTTTTTTTATTGGGGCAGACTAAATTGTATTAAACTGATAACATAAGAGATCAGAATCACACTTTTTAAAATTGGTCACCAAAAGTAAATAGTTCAAAAACATAAGGGGCCGTTAATGTTGTTTACTCTCATATAAAAAAGTATAGATTTGATTATGATATAGATCTAAATTTTATTTTCTGGTGTCATTATTTTCAAAGGAATTAATAAATTTATTATTATGGTTTAATTTTAAAGGAAATAGAAAGGTTATGTTGAGCTTGAAGTATTTTTCGGTGAAACGAACACAAGATTCGTGTTTAGGAAACCAAAAAGGAATTAATTATAAATTTCAAGGTTCAACAATCACCAACAACTACGATCGATGATGACCGATAGTGATGGTAGTGAGTGGCAACCAACGATAAAAGACTTTGATCGAATTTAGGATTCAATTCGATACTTTATCTAAAATTTAGAGTCAAAATAATATTTCATCTAAATTTTAGATGTCAAATTAATATTGAATCAAGTTTAGGGGTCAAATTAAAACGTAACTCCTTTTACTAACATATCACATCGTAAACTAATAAGAAATAACGGTTAAGTGATCAAAATATAATAATTGGTAATATAAAGGACCAAAAATTAAAGAATTGATAATATATCGATCAAAATATAATATAGTGAATAAAAAAACCGGAAGAATTAGTTTTGCAACGATTTGATTAATGAATGAATTTAATACATAAAAATTAGATTGAATAAGCCATGGATTTTCCATTCTACACTACATAATAGAATAAGCCAAGTACCAAATTATTATTTATTAATGGATTTTGCTAACACATTTTGAGAGAGGGGTGTAACTAAGGACGAATGCAGAATTTTTTTCTAATATTTTAAGAGATAACAAACTTTTAAAATTTTAGGAATCGAAAATAGATTATTAATAGAAAGTAAAAAATATATACGCCCAGCCGTCCCCTCGGTTGTTGGCTTTTTTTTTTTATCATTACCAGTCACTTGCGGGGCAATGCCGTTTAGTTGACTTCTCTGAGGTGCCTTTCAAGTATGCTCTGAAGGTAAAGTTCCGAAACAACCAGAGCTGCCGCAGATACATTTCAAGCCGGTAGGCCGGACTCTAATTTCGCCGTAGCTAAAACTGAGCTCCTCGTCTTCTTTTATGTCTTTTGAAGCGAAGAAACAAAGACGAGGCACCAAAGCCCCTGAGCTTCTCATGAGTACTGTCGATAGGTTACCGCCATCACACGAGTGATTAATGAAGCGAGCAACGTTTCCAACTCTCGTGGCATCTATATTAATCCTCAAGCAAGCATTGCCAGATGGAAGATGTTCTCTAACAACTAGAAGTGCGGACGAAAAGCGGCCATTTGAAGCAAGTTCATCATAGATTCGTTGCCTCCTCCTAGCCTCTTTGGTTGTTAAAAGCTCACCTGTATAAACAGGTTGCAAATTGAACAGCATTTAAGGGTCAGTCTCCATACAATTTATATCGTTTGTTCACAAATGAGGAACAATAGATGCAATTACTTTGATCGAAGATATATCACAAGCCATTTTCTTTCCGGGCAATATGTTTCCAGACAAGGGCGCTCTTTTAAGATGGCTTAGTATCTAGCGGAAAAAAGACACGTGAAACTTGTACAACAACTAAAAAGAACAAAAGAACAAGAAGATCGCGACAACCAGAGAGCAGAAATGAGTGATGCAAGGCAAACATGCTCATTTTGTTAACAATGCCAAGTTGTTACCAATCGGCAACATGGAGCAAAACAGTACAGGGGAAAACCAGAAACCTAGACGGATTGCTAAGGGGAATAAAAGCAAGTAGAAGACATTGGAAACAACCAGAAAGATGAAATATGTTGATGTAAGCCAAACACCAGCCCGATCAGGAAGAAATGACAGCCCCCCACAGCACTTAAGATGCAAAGTTAGCTGGATTGCTAATCTGCTGCACGAAGCCAATAGTTTGGGTAAACAGGGGAAACATCAGATGATCAGGAAGGAATGACAACCCCCCACAGCACTTAAGATGCAAAGTTAGCTGGATTGCTAAGGTGAAAAGACTACGGTGACGATAGCCGGAAAGCCGAAATGAGTCGATGCAAGGCAAACATCAGCCTGATCAACCCCCATTTCCCTGAAGACGATGCACTTGATGACATGAAGCAAAAGCTAATTGCTAGAATCAAAATGTTATCTTCATACATATTCAAAGGTCACAACTCCTTTCATTTTCTCATGCGCTGTTTTAACTGATCACATTCTTTCACAATAATTGTTCTGAAATTGCTATGGCAATAAAACCAGTGCCACCATTCATGAATCATCAATTAGTTCAACAACAACACAAAGTGTCAAATCTTCAGAAAGAAAACTAAATTTATCCAACAAAGATACTGATGAGTGAATTATGACAACAGTTTCAATACTAGAAATTAAATTTTGGAGCTAAAAGTTAAGCATAAATGTTGATGTTGAGATGAAGTACCTGAATACTCACAGACGAACTGGCCTCGTTGGATCAATTGAGCAGCATATAATCCCCACCCTTTTCTTTTATCTCTCACAATCTTCAACTTGAATCGTATTCCTCTCTGACTCATCCGATTCCCACACTCCAAACCGCATCCGCAACCCGTTCCACACTCGCTCATTATCCCCATCCCCTCGTCCTCTCTCAGCTCCATGCACGGACATCCAATCACATTGTCTTCACTCACTTTTTCACAATTCTCACACTCACACCCTGAATCGTCCACCACAGTCACCCAGCTCGCCCCGGGTCGAATCATCGAGTCACGAGCACAACCCATTTCAGCACCCGACGAGTTGGGTCCCCAAAACTGGAGGTTCAAAGAAGAAGAAGAAGAAGGGATGATTTGAGACGCAGCGTAAATGAAGAAGGCATAAGGGTGTTGATCGACGGTGTTGTGAAATGGAATGGGAAGGTTTTCAAAGGATCTTGAAGCGTCGAGGGAGCGGTGGAGAGTGATGGGTTGAGCGATTTGGTGAAGGGTTTTGCAGGTGAGGGAGACATTAGCCAGTTCTTGAGGGTTTAGCCATGGAAGGATGAGGTCTGCGCATTGAAAAAGAACGCGGTTAAAGCCTCGTTCCTGGGATTTTTTGGGTGGCGACGACGACGACATGGAGAACGATGACTGAATTACGTACTTAACAAGTTTCACTTGAAGGAATTGATTGAACTTCTATTCCACCATCCAATTGCTATCGATTACCCAATTTTTAATTATTGGAATCTCAATAATCCCTTCTTTCTCAAACCCTAATCTTATACATTTCTTCAAACTCGTAATCATTTAAATTGAGCTTGTACTGGTTAAAGAAATCTTTTTAAATTGAATCTTAAAACAAAAATTCTAGGATTTTTTTTACGCTAAATCAAGGAAGTTTTCTTACAATTTAGAGTGAAAAGCGTAAATTACCCTGTTCACCATGAAGCTTTATTCTTTATTCTATTTTATTTTTTATTATTTTTTTAATTTTTTAAATTTATTCACTAAACGACATTATGACATGGCACACGACATCAAAATGATATCGTTTTTAAAAACTAAATTTATACCAAAATGATATCGTTTTGTATCTATATAAAATTTCAAAATTTCCTTCATTTCTCTTCTTTTTATTCTCTTTTTTCTATTTTCTCTTAACTTTCTTAAATTTCGATCACCGTTCACCGTGATCGATCATTGTGCTGCCACCTTGTAGACCACCATCGAGCATTGTTGACAATGGCCAATAAGCTCTAAAGTTTTTCATCAAACTCGTTCCGTCCTCTTGAATGCAAATTCAGTGTCCATTTAACTTAAAAATCTCTTAAATTTCATGAACTTAGCTATTCACTATTCCCAAATCAACTCCATGAGTCTGTCGTTTCATCCTCCGTCGTTTCATGCTCCTCAGAGATGGGGGCCAACTCTACCTTTCTCGAATCAACCTGTGAGTTGAAACACGGTCTAATGAGCTGGTGAGTTGAGGCAGTTCAATATTTTCACATGAGGATTTACTAGTTATATATTTTGTAAATTACATCTTTCCTAGGTATTAGAGGAGAAGCCTTTTAGACGGCATTGAGGGCCAAGGAAGATGTAGCTTGAACTCAACTCGACGCAGCAACAATTGATAAATAATTCATTTTGTGGAATAAATGGGTTGAAAACAAGTTCATTACATGTTGCAATGAGCTTAATTTGTGTTTCTTCGTCCTTTCTCTTAAATGGAGCTTAAATGGAGGAAAAATAGTGCCCCTTTCGATGAAGATACAAAAACGATGCAATCTCAATCTAAGTGCTAGCAATGAGCATCCCGTAAACCAACCGTTCTGCAGAATAAGGACACGCATAACCCTTCAATCCCGAGGTCGACACCACTGGAGTCTCAAGTTTTACAGTCTAAACCCCACCCCCCCACACACTAAATCTACCGCCTTTTGGATACATCACAGTTCGAACTAGCAGATAGACTACACGTTTCCCATTGACACTGCATTTCAAACTACCATTTCAACCGAACCAGTTACCAAAGACTGCACCTCTGCAAAATAAGACAAAATTACCAAAAAACAGAATGAGACCGAAGATGATCCATGGGCAACATTTAAGGAGCCAATCTAAGACACCCCTATCCACTAGGGAATAGCACATTTGGAACAGAATCAATTTAGTCCCATCGAATATCACTCATTCACCCAAAAAAACACCCTTCTCCTATTCTGAGTCTTGAACGCATCAACACCAAATCAACCCTGCAACAACTCTAATAGAAAACTACCATTTACTAACTCACAGCAGTGAACATCACTTCAACTAACAGATAGAGATAAAGGCATTGGGGTAGCTTAGAAAATCAAGAGGTGATGAACAAAGGAATGGCCATTTACACTTGCACCAAAAGCTTGCCCTCAAGGTGGCTGAATCGTAAATTTGATCTTCATTCCGTCTTTTATTGTTGAACATTATGTCATTCCTGCATATCTAAATCGATCAACAGAACCCATAAAACACTATATTCCATATTGGCTTGAACAGTCGACTAATCGATTGGAGATCTCATGACAAGAGAAGCGATTTGATATTTTCAGTTTGATGTTCCAATGTGAGAATCACCTGCTCCACAATCTCCAAACTACCTTGCACAGGCAGAGTACGTGATTAGCAGCCTCCATCTCCTCTTGGCACAAAACACATTGTTGAGATTCCAAGGAAACACCTCTTTTAGCTAACTCAACTAACACCGGGATTCTATCAAGTATAGCCCTCCAAATAAATCTTTGAACCTTTGACGACACAATTATCCCAAACTATACTCCATAGGTACTCCTCATTTGTTACGTTCATAATACCAAGGCAATATTACTTAGGAGTATAGACTCCACTAGAGGAACCCCTTCAGCTTAAGTTATCATTTTCCCCACATCCTTGCACTGCCCTCTCTAATGTTCTCATAAATTCATCCTATAAATGGAATTCCCAAACGAGCAAAGATCTTCTAATTTCGATATTCCAAACCCATGACCCTTATGTTTTATAGCTAAATTCGAAAATTTTACATGACTTCTTTATGGCTACACCGAAAATTCCAGGAAAAGACTATTTTAAAGACCTAACCTTCGTCCAATGGTCGTTCCAAAAGTCAATCGAGCTACCATCAACAACACAACAAAAAAATATTCTTTTGAAAGCGTCCTCATCGTTTAACAAAGGCATAAAAAATATTTCTCCACATCCTCTATATGTTCCTCGGAGGGCTTGCTTTTAAAGTCACGAACTGATGGTCCAAACCATACTTCGCATGATCACCCTCTTCCATAGGCTCGACGATTCGTGCCCGTACCTCAAAATTCATTTGTTCAACAGCGAACGATTCCTGGTACACAAATCAACTAGACCCAATCCACCATATTCCTTAGGTACACACTATATCTCACATTTGATCCAATGGATAGAATTTCCCGTATTTGTACCCCAAATAAAGTTGACAATGATGCTATTCAATTTGCTAGCACAACCTTTGGCATTTGAAATAAAGACAAATAGTAGACTGGTAAATTCGCAAGGACGAATTTTGCCAGAGTGAGGCGACCACCGAAGGACAGCAGCTTGCTTTTACAACCATCTAGCCTCGAGTTAAACTTTTTGATATTGTGCTTCCTTCCACATAGAAACCTAACGGGAGCCCAAGATACGACGATGGAAATGAATCCCACCCACCCACATTTTAAACACGTCACCCTGTTGGATACCAAACTATCTTCGATATTAACTCCATATAATTAGATTTTCCCACGTTCAACCTTAATCCTGAGGGTACTTCGAAGACCCTAAGGATCCTCTTGGTGTTTTTTAGTGACTCTGCATCAGCTTCCAAGAACATGATTAGGTCATCCGCGAACTGAAGGTGGGTAATGTACAGCCCATTCAAACCCACTATAACTCCGTTATCAACCCCAAATCATTGCTTTTCTGATCATGCCTTTCAATGCTTCCCCGAATAAGTTGAAGAGGAATGGTGATAGAGGGCATCCCTGATGGAGGCCTTTCTTAATGTTGAACTTTCTTGACGGGACTCTATTCACCAAAATGGATATCGATGCTATTGAAATACACAGAGATACCCATCTAAGCCATCTTTTACTGAAACCCATTTTGTACATCACAAGGTTCAGAAATTTCCAATCAACTTAATCGTAAGCTTCGTGGAGATCTGCTTTGAAGACGAAAGCTTTCTTCTTTCTTTTCTTCAGATCATCTACTACCTCGTTAGCAATCAAGGAGCAATCTTTAAACCCCATTTCGGATTGCATAGTGATAAGCGATTGAATGGGTGATCGTAGGTGGTGATAAAGATTGACGACATAATTAATTTTGAGATTAGTGATATTTTGAAGAATTTTAGGATTTTTTTTTAAAAAGACTTCTTAAAAAATTCATGAAATTTATTTTTAAAACCTAAAAGAATTAAAATAAATTGAAAAATAAGTCTTGCGACTAATTGATTCATTATTTTTTAATAGAATTTTTTAATAATCGTCACGGATTATATACTTAAAATAATAATATTTGTAACATTTAGTAATTATATTGACCTAAAAAAAGTAAACGAGAAAAGGGTATAGTTAAGATATTTTTTTATATTAAGCATACACAAATTATAAATTTATTTCTTATTTATTAATTTAATCATTTTAAATCTCGGTATTTTTTTTCATTGCCTTTGTATTTTTTTGAATAAGGCTAAAATTTCATAAAGTATTAGTACATAAATAAGTATCTAAATTATATTTTTTCCTATCTAGGTGCTTAAATTTTTTCTGTCAATTTGTGTCTAAATTATAAATGTTATTATTTTAAGTGTCTCGATCGTAAAAATATTAAAAAAAATTATTAAGTGATGTGTCATGATTAGATAGTTTTAAAATTTTTATTTTTTAAAAAAATTAAAAAAATTGTTATTATAAATTTAAAAAATCATAATTTCTTTAAAATTTAAAAAAAGGGTAAATTACATCATTCCTCCTCACTAAATTATACTTTATCTTCTATTTTACTCAATGTACTTCCAATTTTTTTTACTTTACTCACTGAACTTTCGAATTGCTCATGTTTTGATCACACTGAATTATTTTATTATTATTTAATATAAAATAAAAACAAAAGGTGGTCAGTCACCACGATCTATCATCATCGACCGTCGTTGATGGTGCTCGTTCAATCCTAAATTTCATGAGTCGCTCCGCCTCGACTCCGTGAGTTTGAATCAACCTCTATTTTGTCGAAACTTGCTCCGAAGTCCATGAATTAGAGATTGAAAGTGAGGAAGCTGAAATGTTTCAATCGAGATTCACGGGCTTTGGGACATTTTCCTATGAAACAACCATCAGATTCGGACTCAGGGGGTCGAGACAAATCGACCTATAAAATTTGAGACCGAACTACCACTATCTACATCGATCGAGATGGCTAACGGTGGCGTCTGATTACATTCTGTTTTTATTTTATGTTTTAAATTATTTTATATTAAATAAAAAAATGTCATGTCATACCAAAATAATAATAAAATAATTCAAAGTGATCAAAACACGAGCAATTCGAAAGTTCAGTGAGCAAAATAGGAGATAGAGTATAGTTCAATGAGGAATGGTGTAATTTACCCTAAAAAACTCAAATCCCTAAAATCAACCCTAACATCCCTAACCTTAACATTACCATTTCTATTATAGGTCGCTGCCGCCATCGTCTCTGT